ATTTCGATATCGTTGTCTTTCAAATGAACAGTAACGACAGTTTTTTTTAATGCAATTGAACTTGAACTTGCTCATGAGCTCAGAACACTGTCAGTAGAGGTAAAAACAAATGTCGGGTGCCTAACTTGGGTATATGATTCTACTGTACGGATTTATGCAAAATTCTCGCGATGAGCAACTCTCGTACATAAATTAAATGCCCGTGCCTCGTTGTGTGACCTTTGACTCTAAGTAGACTTCATTATCAAAGATGGTGTGATATCCCCGATAGATCGGCAACCTGAAATCATAAACATCAATCAATTATTGTGAGTACAGACACAGTGGATGAATATCCCATACCAGATATTTAAAGTTGTATTTCTATTTATCAAAACCAACACCACTCCCAAACAAGTTGAACACATAAAATATATGTTGTTTTACTGAAAAAAGCCTCTTAACTCAGTGAGTGTACGACTTAATTTAAGAGACCCACTAAAATTCATCATATGCAATTATTTTCTCATTACTAATCCACAATCAACATCACAATATTTTATGGTGTATATATTGGGCAGGGATGGTGCCTTGGATATTGGCTGAGTGTGAATGACACTTTAACCATCGAACGACGTCATAATACATTTTTTATTAGGCGCCCTCTAGTGGTGAATCGCGAGTTTTGATCTGTTGTCACCTGCCACTAACATAGTATGTGTTAAGAGCTTTTATATACACAAGATGACGAACAACTACACAACCTAACACAGACTGGTCGACAATAGCGGACTTTCCTGGGAGTCGAAGATAAGGCGTTTCGCATGCGCGCGCATACCGCGTTGGAGTGTGAAGTTAAAGGGCGGCAGTCGTTGTGCCGCGTCCTGTACGATATAGCACTCATAGCGACGTATACAAGGCGTGTAAAATACATTGCTTATTTACATGAAATCTGAACACGCGCTGCGCGACGACCACCGCGCTTTAACTTGCACGCGTGATATCGTGCGAATGGATGTACCAATCGAGGTCACACAAAGAAATTCTCTTATATCGCCTATCAGCAAACTGACATGTTTGTCTATTTCCATTATGACAAAGCAGAAGTATTTTTGCAACCAAACCTCGCTACTTCCGGGAAAGTAGTCCATGCTCTCGCGCATATACGTCATTTTGACGTCACAGGAGTGCTTCGTCACTGGAGGGCGCGACTTACAGGAATTCTTTTTGACATTTCATGTTTGTTTTTTTACCTGATGAACACAATTTGACATTATCAACCCTGATCATGATTGCCGTTGTTATAGAATGTGGAAAATTGCTAGCAAGTTTAAATCGTTAGCAGATGTCAAGTTTACGTTGACTTCAAGGGAATTAGGGTAGACTCGGATCATAGGGATTATAGAAGATATGGATTTAAACAAGTTAACAAATTATACCTGAGAGTGCCATTGCTAGGCTTAATTCATCTTTCAGTATTTGAAGAACTTGACTGACGCCTTCTTCACCCTGTGAGAAAGTATAACATATTTAAAATGATAAACATTCGATGATATTCATTCATTCAATGACACTTACATGTCAAACGATGTTTTACTGGTTTCAGTATCACATGGTATTTTATGTCCGAGTACGTTGTTCACTCTGCTGTCTCGTTAGCAGCCAGCCGTGGAATAAACATCATAATCGTCTTCCAAATATATCTCTATTACACCACGGTTTGAAACGCCGTCAGGTCCTAAAAAAGTTGCATTCGTTTTGACCATTTGTTTGTATGCAAAATAGGGTGGCCGTGCCTACAATAAACATCATGGAACGAGGATAACATTTGGTGACGCAATCGAACAAAATATTGCAGACTCAGAAACCCGCAAACGGTTAAAAGTAAATCGCTGGCGGATCCAGAAATTCGGTAAGGGGGCGCGCTCCTATTGACAATCGGTGGGAAGGATTTTTGTTTGCCGCTTGTAAACCCGCTCGTGTAAATCCCGTTTCCCGCATATAACTGCGGACATTCTTGCACGCTCGTTGTACATAAAGTACACCGAAACCAGGAAAAGTACGTCAATTCGCTTCTCATCGTGTGAAATATCCTACCTGCAACGCGAGTCCGTACACGATGGGTCTTCCTATGAATACCGCTTTAGCTCCAAATGCCAGAGCCTTCAGCACATCCGTTCCTGTGCGTATACCGCTATCCATGTAGATTTCAATTGTATTACCGACACTTTTAGCGATTCTTTCAAGAACATCGATCTGTGGAAAAAGAAAGCCCTTAATACGGTTACCGGCATATGAATAAATAAAATCCTTTACTGGGTGGGGGTCCTTCACATTGAGGGTGTTTGATAATCGTTACAAATTATCAATGAATGTACACAACTGTGCATGCGCTTTGAAATACTGGTACGTACTACCAAATGCCAATACGTGTCATACATTCTGCCACACGACATTGAAGTTCACTCGACCGAACTAATGTAACGGACAGTCTATTATAATGGTTTCGCTTACTCATCTTTGATAAAGTGGGTTTCTCTCTTATCTCTAACTGTCTATATTATTTACATATATCTTAATGGCCATACTTTTAGTACGTTTTCCCAGCATGAAACGAAATTAACCTCAATTTTCGAAAACATAGCCTAACTCTGGTGACCTTGCCCTTTATCATAGTTTGCAACATAGAAGCAGCCAACTGAATAAATTTGATTGATGTAAATACCTTACAAAAACATGGTGCCTGATTTGTTTATTTATTTTAAGCACAGTCCCTCTATCCCTCTATATCACGTGATCAGTACGCAGCCGGCCACTATTTTTTACATCGTCAGTGTTATGTATTTTTTTACAACTTAGTTGTTTATTCCAGAATTCGTGCTTTTTTACATAATTTTATAATCAGGATATCTGTATAAGGTCATATTTTAGCCGGCGAGTAGTTCTCCAATTCATCTATTTTACCAATAGCGACACATTTTCGCAATAAATTTTCATACTTTTACCCAGATTTTTGTCGTTTTTGATTTTGGGGTGATTGAAATGAACTCTATTTTATTTGCCATACTTCTCGGCGCGAAACCAATATTTGTCTTCGATTTTGACATTTTATGATCGAAACATATCATTAAAAATTGGTGGGCTGATTTGTTATTTGTCACACCGCATTTTATTAATGTTAAATTGAGCGACTTTTATGGATGCTTTTTAGATCGTAAATGCAAATGGCGACGTTTTGAAATGACAATGTACTAAATTCTGTGCTGCAAAAATCATTTATATACAAGCATTGTTATACTTATACTTTTGCATAGAATAAAGTCATTAGTTGTTGTATAGTTGACTTGAACTGTTATGAACCCCCAAGAATCAGAAATATCACAGATTTTTCGATCGATCACGTTAACATGTACGACGCCATTTTGACAAGATTTGTTTAGCGATGTCAGCATGTTGGCACGCGAAGTTTTTTCCCTATTAAAACTAGAAGATGAATATAATTCCCGATATTAATCTTTACATTGTAGGAACTGGATGTTTATGAGTTGGTAGGCTGGTTGTGATGTGCATTACCGTTAAGAAAACTCAAATTTCATAGTGATAATTTTGTTTACATGTTTGTTTACGTTGTGGTTGCCCGAATTTGAAGTCAAAGTGAAGTCATACAATGGGGTATCGCTTTGCATGACGGTAAATTTTTCGATTTTAATGAATATTTTGATGGTATTGTAATCTGTCTGACTTCCTGACTGCCTCGGCCCGGGTGTGAACGGTTTGTTTACCGCACCGCGGTTCGAGACAAAAGAACGCTAGTCGTTTCCAGACCGGGGATAGAGGGACTGTGTTTTAAGGAACATAATTTCCAGACAAATACGAACTGCCTCATTACATTCATTATGTGACTGATTCTTTGAAAAGTAAAAAATGCCCTCTAGGAATAACTATTATGTTGCAAGCTCTGCTTTGTATGCAAATCAACTTCACTCTTGAAGCATGTACCATGCACCTACAAATAGTTGGTGTCCAGTGGAGAGAGAAGTCAACAATACTGTTGCTTACTGGGAATCTACATCTTCAAACACTACAGTCTTAGAAGTGCGTTTTTAAATTTGTATTATAAAAGCTCTATAGTTATGTTCTTATAGCTTTAACAAATTCCTGTTTTGTCGAATGAACTGTTTGTCAAATACAGAACACATATTTCTGAGTACGATTTTCCTTTCAAAATGTGGATGCAACGTTTTGCCTCTTATGTATTTTTGCATTATTTTTGTTTCTTTAACTTTGGACTAAACAGACATAATTTTCTATCAGCTTCAGATCTTGATCAAAAGATTGGCACCCAAAGGGTTATTAATAAGAGTGTTTATATCAATTTTCTAGTCGGACATCTTGTTTTCTGTAAAGATTTTATTGGTAGGTTTGCAAATGTGTATCAGACTGTGCAAAAACTCTCTCCATGAGTTGGTTTTGAAACCCAGTCTAGTATTCCCATGGGATTTAGGAGATACTTACAAGGATATTATTACAAGATAAATGATTTGCTTCATTGAACACATACAACAATGCATATCACCACTGGGACCAGTGACCATTAAATGTGTATCATCAGCGATCAGTCAAGTAGAAACAATCAAAATGTGTTATCAGATTTTGACTACTTTCTCAATTTGTGCAATGATATTTTCACAAAGGACATCTGACTTTCGTACTAAGCACAGATTTTATACTGATAAATTAGGTGACAAAATTTAATAAAGTTTGGAATAGAATTTAGTAAAGCTATTGTGCACACATTAACAAATATTAAAGACGACGAAAGACACTTTTGTCTTAATTTACCGTTCCCTTTCATCTTTGATGATACAGGCAGGATAAAAATATCGATTTAGTATCAATGTTTGCTATTCATAATTGACTCTCAAAAGAAAAAAACTTAATTTTATGTCCGTTTCGCCCGGATAATCGATATATATTACACCATTGACTTTCATAGATCAATGATAGATCCTTGACACAGAATTGCTGTACTCTATCCGATGTTGTACACACAACTTGTGCGAGAAAATAACGTGAAATAATATTAGCGTAAAGGGCGGTGGTCTTCGCGCCGCGTGTCTATGATATGCTATCTATAGCGATGTATACAACGCAAGTAAAATACGTTGTTTGTTTAGTACATGAAATTCGAACACGCGCTTCGCGGAGACCATCGCCTTTTAAAGTTAAACCCACCGATGCTGGAACCGTGTCTAGTTGCCTGCCACCGTTATTGGATACAATAATACCATTAATGCCGTACTCTGCTGCCAACACAGCGTCTTCTTCAGTAAGAATGCCTTTCAGTACTATCGGCAATTTCGTTATAGATTTTAGCCATGTGATGTACTCCCAAGTAACAGATGCATCCATTGTAATGCCTTCAGTAGGTCCCTGAAAATACGTGTAGTATGAAAGAGCGTTAGAGACAACACACAAAAAGTTTCTCACGTACTATACTATTATAGTACAAAAACAATAATAACATTCGATTTCAGAAGCTTTTTTATGTATACAGAATATGTTAATGAACCAATTTGCAATGAGCAATCAAAATGTCCAAATTTGTTCTAGGCCCCGACTATAATGTGACGCTAATTTGCATATATTTGGACGACGCATTTTTTTAGAAGATCTTGCGATTATTTATGTAAACAAATGAACAGAATGCTAACCACTGTTATCAGTTCCACATTTCTCGAATAATTTTTCTGTAAATCAAACGTCACCATCAATTCAACACATCGTAGAACGCACCTCGTTCAAGTTTGCATTTATTAAAAATTAAGGCCCTCTCAATGTAATTATCAGTCTGTGTGCTATTTGAAGACAACATATATTAAAGCGGGGGAGTCGTCACCTACTACGCATGCGTCAGGTGGCCATAGCGTGTCATTGTTTACAAAAAAGCTTCTACCCATGAGCCTTTGCGTTCTTAGCGTGTGTTGTTATCATCAATTCCCGCGCGTGCGCAGGTGACGACCCTCCCGCTTTAAATAAATATTTCAAAACTTTGATAATATCCCAAGTTGTAACAATCTTGGAATGATCTATTCCGATATTGTGCAGCCACAGCGAGAATGTTCAATATGAATTTGAAATGGTGCATAAGTCTTCATAGAACAATATCACTAAGTACATTGTGCTTACTATTATCAAAGACTATAGTCTTTGCTATTATCAAAAGTTTGTTTCTTCGCAAAATACCGCATTTCTTTGGGGTGAGGGGTACGTAGTCGGCCAAAAAATGTCAAACTGATCAAGAGTCGTCTGTGTTTGTAATCTGACATACAGTTGAAGCGCCTCACTAGGTCGGTGGCGGCCATATTTGATTTTGACGAAACAGTACTATGATCATTACTTGAGCACGTTTTCGAAAGTTCGTAGCTAGTGTTATGATGAATGTTGTAGAATGTCGGCAAATAACCAGGCTACATGGACATTTGGTAAATTTGCCATCGGAAACCAATTAGAGTTTCGCACCATGTGACCCAATACGAGTGTCCCTTTCACTCAGGTGCTGACGAGCCACAATGACTCTAGTGTCGTAACATGTATCTAAAAATATGAGAACTTACATATCTCTCTAAGTTAACAAATTTTGGTAAGGGTCCTGGAGGAAGACGACGTAGTCCCAATCTATTCCCAGGAGCGGGGACGTCTGTTGTTAACACAAGTGCGTCGGCACCGGCATCTTCCGCTCTCTTGATGACATCCCTAGTCATGTCGCGATTTTTCCAGATAAATATTTGCTGCCATTTTGGTCCTTTGGTTGGTACAGGGAAGATATCTTCAATAAGTCGGCCGGAATAGATACTAGGAACATAACAAGTATTTAAATCGGCAACCCCTTTTAAAACAAAGAATAGAAAATATCACTTATGAAAGTTTTGAAATAAAAATATGTATGTCAATGAGAGAAATAAAAAGCTATTAAGAAAAATATAAATGCAACAATTGTTGCCAGGCAAAAAGTTAATTTCTCCAGCACCCCAAAAATTCAAATGGTACCGCCGATACACGTCGTCCTACCATTGAGAAATAATAATACGTATTGTAGTGTTGTGTTGTGTTAATGTTCAATGTGAGAGCGGGAGGGTTGTCACCTGCGCACGCGCGGGAATTGAGTCTCAAGCGACGATAACAACACACGCTAATAACGCAAAGACTCATATACAGTTGGAGATATACAGTTGCAACGCGAGATTTGTCGACAACGATTCTGGGCAGGGAAATCGACATGCCTATATGCATAGGTCCTACAGGGGCAAATACGAAATACTGGGCGTGCACTGTGTCGATTATGTGACAATAATAGGATAATCGATCTCAGAATCATGTTTGTTCGTGGAAATTTAACAGAATTGATTAACTGTTTTCCCTCTTGTAATCCATGTATGGGTACTACCAATAAAGGAAATCTAAGACAATCCCTAGTAACACGTATCGTGGTATGGCGAATATATGCAGAACGAAAACAAAGACATCATCATATCAAATCAAATCAAATCAAATCAAGTGTTGGTGTCATAGAACACAAATCTTCAATTTGCCATTGGTATCCAGTCATCCGCGGACAAGAGTCTACCCATGAGCCTTTTCGTTTTCAGAGTCTGTTGTTATCGTCGATTGGGACTCAATTCCTACGCGTGCGCAGGTGACGACCCTCCCGCTTTAAAACTATTGAATGCGTCCACGCACCGAAGAAGGTCATTGTCTCTAATGTTCGTGCCAATACGTTGAAAACAAAATATTTTAATAAAAAGCGTCACCAACAAACGCTAGGATTAAATTATCAGTCTGCTATACAAAACTCAGAAGCTAAAATACGCCAAGTCGCCTAGCAACTAGAGATCACGTGACTATTGGACATACCTTTCGCTGTCGCAACTTCGCCATCTTTGTGGGCCTCTGTGTGTAACCCTGTAGGACCTATGCATATAGGCATGTCGATTTCCCTACCCAGAATCGTTGTCGACAAATCTCGCGTTGCAACATTTCGAAGTACACGTGGTCTTAATTTGTACCTGAAATGATAACGGTTTTTGCAACATATTTAAATTTATATTAAATAAATATATATATTAAAATGCGTGTAAAATATGTGTTTGTTTACATTAATTTCGAAGGCGTTCTGCGCGACGACTGTGGCGTTTAAAATTATTACGTGGCTGTTATTTGTTGAATGACCGATGATAATCACACACATTGGTTCTTTAACCTTGATGTATTTGAATATATTTAACCGCATTCGAAATCCTCATCGAAATCCGTCCGGCGGTTTAAAACTGACACTGGAATTAATAACATAAAATGAAAATTTCTGTCGCAGCAAACAGTTGCATTAAACAGTGTAGCATAAAATCAAGATGAAAAGATTCAAGTTCAATTTTAATTGACAGGCATGTGTATATAAAACTGGTTGCCCTTATCACGGTCTTCTAGTAGCCGTGCCATTATGTAACCTAAGGACTTGCGAACACTAATCTGCGCATGTGCAACACATTCGTTAATAGGGTCATTGACCTGTCATTATGGGCTGCACGATTAACACATTATATAATATGCAACTGTATATCTCCAACCGTGGACTTATCTATAATATTGTAGCCATATTTGGGTGTAAAGTTTGACCCATACTCGGTAGTAAAATATCAGAACTGTAACAAAAACGTGACATTGTCATGCCTTTGAATTTAACAACGCCATGCCATGACATTCACTTTGACAGAATATATTAGACGGGGCGCGTGGGTATATTTATACGAGGGGTTATCTGCGATCAGACAATTATGTTTGTCAATAAAAACGACAACTTTACTGTGGCAGGATGACAGACAATATCATCGCGATATGCAACGTACCTTAGAAAGGCCCGACTGTTGTCTCTGAGGGTCACTTCTTCGTCAGCTCCCGATGCGAGAAATGTCCATGCCGGTATCGGGAGTATTTTCTTAGCATTTATTTCATAATCACGCAAGCATAGCAGCGCGTTTGCTGCAATGCTAGACGATGTCCGTGTTGTAATCCTGCTGAACATTGCGCGCGTTTATTACCGAGGATGAGCGGCCTTGTAAATGGGAATAGACTAACTGTAAACAAACCAGCACGTCTTTGACCCGATGACCTTTCCGTGTCATTTCATAATGTGATCATTTCGGTCACATTCGCATAATGACAATTCATTGCCCGGGCGTATGTATTATCATTAATCGTCGGCAGATGGTGAAGACTGACAGGACAAAATCA